TATGATATCATATGATTTACATGTAAACATCATATGATTTGACCAATCAGAATTAGCAATTTCTTGTGTAACCCCAGCAAAACATATAGCGACACCGGAAACTTTGATCATATGTAAAGTTTATTTTTTTTAAAGCAATGTATATCCCAAAACTTTATTAGCATAAACAAACTGGTTTAAACTACATACCATTTAAATTTGATAAAAATTAACTAAGATATTAAAAAGATTTATCAGAAGCATTTTTTTATTTACTATGTAAAATCTAATATACTATGCAGATCATATGAAAAATGATCTACGTACACCCTACTCTTAAAGCATTTACAAGTTTTGGGTGGCAGAAAAAAGAAAGTCGAATAAGCTAATTCAAATCTTTAAAAATTTTCTTATATACATAAATTTGATGGTAATACAAATCTAAAAGTATAATGAGATCTGTATAATATAACTTTAAAGTTAATTACTGTAATACCAGTTAATACTGGTATTTTAGCAATAGACTTTCACTAAATTAACCAATTGTATTATATAATTATATTACATATTAGATATTAGTCTAACTTGTGCCTTTACATAAATATATGATGCACAATTGTCCTGAACCAGGCTGTAATAGATACTTTAATCATCATTCAATTTTTTTTTTTTAATATTAAGGTAATCACTTTGGAGTCTGGCACGTTTTATTGAACTTTGGATCGAATGCCAGAGTAACCACATGGGCTACTCCTAACTTTGTTACATTAACGAGTATACATTCTAGCTATATGTACAACTTTTGGTTGTCTATTTAAGCAGTTTTGCATATGTAACCTATATAAACTACACTAGATGCTGTACCTGTAACCCACTATTATTTGAGTTACCCAATTAAATCTTCTGATCAACTTAGTGCCATCAGGATATTCTCCTCAAAGAGGAACTGCTGTATAAGACCTTTAGGACTTTAAAGCGGACATACACTACCATATAGGAGGTCCTTTATCCTTGTAGTAAACTTACCAGAGCAGTTCATATTCCACACATGTATTACCTAGATTTTTGGTAACTTATACTCAGACCATAGCCAAGTACTTACTTTACGGACTACAACAATACTTCGATGCCAACCGTCAGCTTCCTAAACTTCTAATCCAGATGGCCTGGGAGGAACTAGTGGGCATTGCTTGGTATTTTGAATGAATCCTTTTTCCTCTGGTTAATCCAGCAGCCTGGTTGCTGTAGTGCGTGCTAAACACTCGATCCTGTTCAGTTTGCCTTTGGTGTCCGGTTCCTCAGATGATAATCCTTTATGTAGCCTGTCAAAGATTTGTGCTACCTCTCTACTCAGGACTTTCTAAGCAGGCTTCCATATCCTCCAATCCCTTAGATTTATTTGGCTGCTTCACTCAGGTTTTGCATAACTTATGTGTTATACTACGTTCTACAACCTCCCAATACAAGTTGGTGAGACCAAGGTTACAGGTGCTATCTGATTGACATGTCATACAGTTTTACCATAATGCATTTCTACAAATTCGAATTTCATCTCTGTGGGAATCAAACTCTTGTCCTGCCGCTTGGGAGTGTGACAACTTACCAACTATACTAAGTCACTACACCCTTCTTTAATCATCATTCTTCTATGCGCAATTATTTAAAAATCTATAACAATATAATCAGAAACCTTCTCCAAGAAATTGTTATAGCAAAAGACTGTAATAACATATTAAAGAATGAACAATTTAATCAATAAGAAGATGAAATTAATGACTGATGGAATGATAACCAGCTAGAAGATGAAACAGATGAGTTTTCATTTAATAATAGTGAAGATATTGAACCAGAAATAGAAAACAATATAATAGATAAGATAACAGATAGTTAGAAAATAACAAAATGAATTATGAAATAGATATTAAAGTAGATGAAATAGAAGAAACAAACAGGCAAGAAATTAGTTATAGTAAAGAAAGAAATAATGAAACTAATGAAATAGATGAAATAGATGAAGCAAATAATGTTAATATTAAGATAGATGAAATAAATAATGAAGATGCCATAGATGAGATAGATGAATCAGAGGTATATAAGTACTGTATATAGTATATATATAAGTATATATAGTACATACGTATATTATACATATATAGTATATACATATATATTAATATATATTTTAAGTTTTATTAATAATTCAAAATTATATATGTATGACTATGTATATAGATGGATATTGTAGAGTATCAATTGTTTGAGGTTAAGTCACCATTAGTTTTTGAGTCTCTTGATGTTAAGTCAGCAAATAGTAAGGATATGACAAATTTTTTAAGTGAAGAATTTGGTGACTTTATAAAGTTGGTTATTAAATAGAATTTGTCAGATTCATATGCGAGTGAAATACTTCATTTTTCAAAAAAAATAGCACATGATAATAACATTTTACCCACTTCAATCCAACAAGAGAAGCAGTGTTTAGATAAAATTATAGTACAACATATGTTTGTTTAAGAAAGTACCTATAGTAGAATATGAAGGTGAAATATACTATTTTAATTACTATCCAATTTTAATACTATTAAAGAATTGTTAAGCAATGAAGATATACTTAATCATTGTATCTTTGAGTTTATACCATTATACTACCAAGGACAACAGATATATTATAAACAATTTAATGGAAATGGTAGAAAAGGACAAAGGAAACAATTTCTCTTGATTTAAGCATTTTATCAATAATATTGTATTCTGATGCTACTATATGTGACCAACTAGGAAAATCAAATGAACATTCAGTATATTTGACATTAGACAATATTTTTAGTTGGTGCAGAAACAAACCTGATGCTAAAGCTCTTTTGGCTTATCTTCTAATCTTAAAATCAAAAACAACTACACAAAAAAAATCAAGCAATTATTTATTTGCAAAATAGTCTGCATATCAACATTCCTTAGATGTAATTTTAAAGCCACTGCTTAACTATAAAAACAATAGGTTTGATCTTCAAACAAATAATAGTGATTTATAGTGCTACCTATTTGTTTTAGTTTTTTTAGGTGACCTTCCAGAACATTCACTGCTAATATTAACATATAATGCTTTTAATTGTAAATGTCCATATCATGGATGCTTGGTATTGTTTAATGATATAAATAAAATTAAGTTGAATATAAATCAAATTAATTTAAGAACTTCAGAAACAATACAAACCATTATTTATCAAGGTCTTTCAAAACAATATTCCATATATAGCATAAAAAATATATTTTGAAAATATCTGTAAGTATATATTTATATATATATTTGATATAAATTTTATATTTTGTAATAAATTTTATTAATTTAATTTAATTTATTTTATTTATTTTTTTGTAATCATGGCATCTAGAATCATTGTATAATATTGTCATTTAATAATACTTTATAAAAATATCAGCTAATTAAGCATTTATATAGCTACGATTCTAGACAAAATGCATCATTTGGACTTAGAATTGTTCAAATATCAAGTAGAATATACAAGAAAAATGCTAATGATCTTTGTGAAAAAGTAGCAATTGATGAGCTTGATCAATGTTTAGCAAAAATTCTAAGGTTTCCTGGACTTAAAGTGTTTAAAAAAGGTCTTGAAAATATTAAATGCATTACAGCTAATAAATTTCGCAATATGATAAAAGTGTTTCTCTTTGTTATAGAAAGAATTATTATTAAACATCATAAAAATTTAATTGAAAGAAATATTGCAAAGTGATATGATTCTGCATTAATTAATATTTATTATTACTGGAACAAAATGTATTTGTTTAGTCGAAAGAAATATTTTTAAAATCAGACTTTGTAGAGTTTAAGGTAAATCTATTAATATTTAATATTATAATTTTTTTTATTTAATAGTTGTATATTAATAATATTAATTAAAATTATTTTATTATATTATAGGATTTAATTATGAGTTGGGCAAAATTATTTGTTAAACTTTTTAAGAATTATTCTCTATCAGATCTTGACTATGTAAATTGTATAATTGGTGTTATTATACTATTGAAGCAATTAAAGAATTTGGTGCTATTAACAGATTCACAACAGAGACTTATGAAACTTTGCACAAAAACTTTGTAAAAAAGCTATATAGAGCTAGTAATAAGTGTAATGCTACTAAACAAATAATTCAAATGGTTAGTATACTTACTATTTATCTTAATTCTATTTATAGTTAAATTTTATTAATATTATTATTATATATTATAATAATATATAGGAATATCATAATTTGATTTTTAATTATTTATCTCAACACAAAAAGGTTGTACAATCTACAAACAAATATCTAAAAGCCTTTCGATAAATGGACTTCTAGGAGAATTCTCATTAAAAACAGCTGATGAATTTTTTCTTCATATATATCAAAGAATAAACTAGCTCTTGAGGTGTTATTGGCTTTCAAACATTTTTTTTCATCATTAAATAAATTCTTTGACTTGTATGAGGATTTAACTGAAGATATGATAACAGGTGATACTATTATTAAATGGTATAATTATACTAATATAGCAACTAGTGAAGACTATATTAGAGCAACAAGCAATTATTATAATGAACTATCATTTAGCAATGTATCAATTAGTATAGATGAAAGTGAAGAGTTTAGAACTGCTAATGGAACTTGTTTTTGCAAGGTTTGTTAATAATATTTTTTTTGTTATTTTAGAATTTTTTATTATATATTAATAATATTTATTTATTTCAAATTTTAATGTTGATTACTGTTATTATTGAAAATTACTCTACACTATTTAATCTTGCACTTGTGCAATGGAATGACTTTCGATACAAAAATAATAATTGTTTATATAAATATAGTTGTTTACTGATAAAGCTTTTAGATACTTATGATCTCATACCTGCAGAACCTATTACTGAATTAGTACAAATTATTAAATGTGAAAAAAAAGAAATTGAATACTTTGTTAATATATATATGTTTTAATATTTTTAATGAATAATGTAAATTTAATCTAAATAGAAGTTATTTAATCTTTGAAAAGTATTTATATTTAGAAATTATGATCAAATTATTGACTAGACTGATTGCTACATATTTCTATAGTATAATTTATAGAGAACTTTCTGTTAGAGAATAAAAATATTGATTAGAAAAATAAAAAATATGTTAAAAATAATTTTATCTATTCTATAATACAAGTAATAGATCTAATAATACAACCAAGAAATAAAAAGGCTATTTAACTACTACAAGAATTTATAAAATCAGTACAGAGTTTTTTACATCGTTGATAAGTGAAGATGGATTTTGACATGCCTAATTTATCAAATTAACAGAACATATCAGCTAATTTCCAAGTAAAAAATATATTAACTTTATAATTATTAAAATAGAGAGTGTATCCAGGTAGACATTTCTATTATATAGTTATAATAAATTACCAGGATAACTAGATAATTTAATAGTATCTGAGTAGAAAATTTCTTAGTAGATACAATCTCTATATTAAATTGAATTTGTCAAATAAATTTTTAAAAAAATCTTATATAATAATATAATTTTATTTACCTCAATATCATATTTAAAATAAACTTATGATACATTTCTTCTAATAATAGACTTTAATTTACAAGAAGCTATTATTTAGATACTATTTTGTTTTATATATCAAGTATAAATAAAATACTTTAATATATACTTATATATATTTTTTTCAACTTTGGCAGTCTTGCTAGTGATCCTTTATTAAGATTGTCTTGTTACAGGCGTGACAAGATACTTTAAGCTTAATATTTAGACCTGACATCCTGTAGTTACTTCTAAAAGCACTTTTTCAAGCGATCTGCTGCACTAGGCAGATAAATCTACAAGAGACATATCATAGTAAATCTGAAGACTACCTATTCTAAAAAGCCATATCAGACCACCACTCTACAATAGGATATCACCAATCTGATGACATCTTCTCATAAGAAAGTAAAAAAAAAAATACTAACACTAATACTAATACTAAAAAGGGAGAAAGGGAAAAAACGAAAGTAAAAAAAAAAATCTGATAGTCATAATTATAAGCCTGTGTCGGTTTAACAAAAATTACATATTACAAGATAAAGATGCTCTATATCTAACTCTATCCTAATAATATATCTAATCCACCCTAGAAAAAAAAAGAAAAAATAGTAGACTTAAACTAGACTAGACAGAGTAGTTAAAAAAATAACACTAATAGTCTCGAAGTATTGTTTAAACAGTTTCTTTCGGTCAAAACACGTTGCCTAATTGTGTTGTCCTTCAGATGTGTTCGGTTGCTTAATCCAGCCATCCATCGATTTGTGTTTATTTAAAAATAAACAACCCATTTTAGGGGAGCCAACCCGTTTTGAGTTAGGTAAACAGTACTGACTGTTTTGGAAAATTACATGTTGATCTTTTAGAGAAGGTAAGCTGAGACACCCACTTTTTGACAAAATTTTCTCAAAAAAAGTGGTGGGCCAACAAAACTTTGTAAGTTCTTCCTTTTAAGTTTTACAGTTGTATAGAGACTATCTCCAGTTTTTTTAATATGCTTATTGTTAACCTAGTCATTCTGTGTTCCCAGAATATCCTTCTGGTTTGGATACCAAATATAATAGAGGAGTCTGCTAACAAGCAAGCTTGACCTCTACAAAAACCATCCAAAGTAGTCCATTTCTCGGTTTTATACTCTTGATACTTCGTCGACAACACACCTACTTGTGTAGAACCAAGTATATTATCACCCTTTGATGTCTTCTATAATGCTGACTGTAGTTCAGATTTTTGGACTTGTTGACCAGAGGATTATCAGAAAGAGTTATAATATAAACTTATATTAATTTATTACATTAACTAATATAAATGGTATTAAATTACAGAAATAATTAAACAACGTTTATTGTAAAAGAGTATACTAACTACAAGTTTTAAATAATTATATTAAACAATATAATGTATATTGTTAAATTACATAAATAATTAAACAACATTTATTGTAAAAGTGTATATAAGTATTAAATAATTATATTAAACAATATAATGTATATTGTTAAACAATAAATTAGTATTAAAAAATATAAATATTATTAACAAACGATGATATAAAACATTATAATAAAATAAAAATTTTAAGTTATTTAATAGTAAATGTTAGCTAATTTTAAATTTTGTATTATTTAATACATTGTAGTTGTATTAACTAATGTTTTACTATTGATTAATGCATTTTTTGGCAATAAACAACACTTGTAAAACTTCCTGATGTATGATATCATTGGTAGGTAGGTTTATGATTTTAATGAATTATTTAGCATAGTTGATTCTTTTAGTAACAATTTCAAGCATTATGTGTACACTAATGTTTCTCCATCCCTTGATTTTAAGCACTTGATCATTTCTTATAATATAATACAATCCTTGCATTTATTATTCATTACTTCTGTATTTCTAAAAATTTTTAATTTATCATATGTTCCTTAGTTAAAAGCTATTAATAAATTTACTTGAATATTCCATTTAAGATTTACTAGATATTGTTTCAAATATTGAATAAGATGGGTGGCGCGAAGCGCCACCTATCACACTAGTATGTAATATTATCGCGCTTTTCAAATTACTTTTATCAGCAAATTTCACGTGAATCAGAAATCTAAAATAAATGCAAATCTGTGATTGGTTGGAAATAAATTTTAGCCAATCATGTATACGCATTTATTTTATATTTCGGATTCCTAGAGTGATACGCGGAACTTGTTGTTCACAGTAATTTGAAAAGCGCAATAATTAAAAACTAATAGTCGAATCTCAGATTTAAAATAGCTTCGTCTAGAGATGTACGTTGAATTTTTTTGTGTACAGTATGTAAGGTACTGCATGCGACATATCTCCAGTTATGTTACTGTGTATTTACTAATCATGATTATCTTGCTACAATATTTTAAATGTTTACATTAATGATTTTTCTACAAAGAAATCTTTAAATTTTAAGTGTTAATTAATTTTCATTTTCATCTTCGATGAAATGCAGATTAAATCTTAAATGCATATTTTTACATATGCCTAATTATACAACTAATCATACATTTATAAAAGTCATTGTATTAACTATTAGATCACTCTATCAGCCTTATCCTTTAAAACCAAAGACATTAGCAAATCAAATTCACCAGAATTTTGACACATTCGATAAAATAAGGAATTATTATCGGTAATTAAGTTGTATGGGCTAAGTTGATGACATATAAATGCATGAATAAATTAATAAACAGCATGAATACATGTGTATAATTCATGTGTATAATATAATGATTTGCTTACCTATCAAATTCTATTATATTTCCTCGATCTTGAAAATATAAAAATCTTAGGATCCATCTTTTAAAGAAAGTTAAAGAACATTAATAAATAGGAATTTATTTCATACCAATAACTAGTATCTTATCATAATCAATAACAGTACGTAGTCGATGTGCAATACATAATATCGTGCAATCAGCGAATTCAGTTCTTATCATTTTTTGAATCTTTTCATCCATAGCAAAATCAATGCTAATAATTAAAAGGTAATTACATTAATGAGCTGCTACACTGAGTTAAATATTTTAAACGGAATTATTAATAATACCTTGCAGTGGCTTCATCCATCAATATAATCTTTGACCTTCTTAACAAAGCTCGAGCAAGACATAATAATTGCCTTTGCCCTTGACTAAAGTTTTTTCCACCTTCACTTACAGGTGTATCCAAATTCTTAAATAAATTGATATTATCATCTGAAAATGAATTAGCCTCCACATCCTCTGCAGAAGGAATTAAGTGAACACGTCGTAATGATTCCAATATTTCTATATCCTCATATTGAGAAAATGCATCAAGGTTTGACCGTATTGTACCTAAGAAAAAAAATTGTAATTATTACTTTATCAGAAAAAGGTATGTAACAGTTTATCTTTAACCATGATTACCTGTAAATAATATAGGATCTTGTGGAATTATAGTTATTCTTGACCGAAGATCTTCGACACCAACAGATGAAATATCAATTTCATCGACTAAAATTTTTTCATATGATGGCTCCACAAATCGAAACATTGCCAATGCTATTGTTGACTTTCCAGATCCAGTACGTCCAACAAGTCCTATTTTTTCTTGACCTTCCACATTAAATGAAATGTGATGTAGTACTGGCTCTAAATCTGGTGCATATTTAACTTCTAGGTTTTGTACTGTGATTGCACCACTATGTGGCCAGTAAGCAGGTGGTCTCGGTTCAATTATAGCTGGAGCCTCTTGAGGAATTTCAGAAAATTCGCTTACTCTTTCAACAGCATTCAAACTCATTTCAAGTGATGTATATCTTCTAACAGTCCACATGATCTGCTCAGTAAAGTGCATTGCAAATGATAAGGACAAACCAGCTAAACCAGCATCAAGTCGATCAAGGTTCCACAGAATGAAAATACCAGCTAAAAACGAAACGAATGCACCAGTAACATTGAAACGAATTGAAAGCCAACGATTTGTTAACCACGTATAAAAGAATGGACGAATATTGTTATCTATTCTGTGATATAAAATGATAAAATTTTAATTAAATGTAAAGTATGTGAAATTTTTAATAAATTTGTATACAAACTTTAATAGCATATCTTGCATAAACCGCTTCGATGCACTGAATGCTCT